CTATTACACACTCATGCTGCTTCATCCTCTTCAGGGAGGTTTTCACTGCTTTCTCTAGCCCTTCCAAAAGAATAGCTTAACTTCTTAGCATTCTTTTTGCCTGAGGCACAGAAAGGAAGATTATTTTATGATGTAAGTAAAAAGTTCAATTTATCCTGGGAGTATATTCCTCACTCTTCTTCATAACTTCACTGCCTAGGACATTGTATATGTGGTGTGTTTAACTAAGTCAGTCCACGGTTGATTTCAAGTGAAATTTATCACCACCAAGTAAGCAAAATTAACTGAGGAGAAAACTCACTGTGAATTAAGGAAGGTTCTGTTTGAGTCAAAAGCAAAGAAGCAGCAGACTGCAATTGCTTAATTAATTCTGCAAGATAATTAAAAAAAAAAATCCAGAAAAAACTTTGAATGTGCTGTTACCTTCGCATACAGCTGTTTTCTTTATACAAAATGGTCATCACTCTCTCACAGGCTGAATTAATATAGTACATACAAAGCCGATATAGGTAATTCCCCAGGGACTGTTCAAGGTCTTCACAACTGTGACGATTTCAAAATGGAAAACCAAGAGGAGTGGAATTTCCTAAACGTGATCTCTAGCTGAATTAAACTCACCCTAAAATTGCAATCCTGGTGCAATTCTGCAGGCAGGTTTTCTTAGCAGAAGGTTCTTTCAGTATGTCATTGGGAAATAAGTTTAGAATCTTTCCCAGTTCTGCTATAGTACGGGAATGAAATAAAGAAAAAAAAAAATCTACTGGTATTAGTGACCAAATATTCTTCATAGCATCAATGTACTAACTAGCCTCATACCTTCCAGCAGCACATTTTTGCGTCCACATAGCACACACACATACCTCATCAAAGCACATCCCTTCTATTTCTCTGCCAGCAGGCTATGGTTACCTGGATGGGTTCTGAACCTTTCACCGGTTCAGTAGATCTCATCAGAGATCCTTGTTTCTTCTAACAACCTTCCCCCTAATTCTAAAAGGCAATGCCTTCCTGTTCATAAAGAGATTATTGAAGTGGCATAAGCTCTCTTTTACTAGATCTTAAGAAAAAGTTTAGGACTGAATAAAATTAATCTGTTGCCCTGTATTTCGAAACTGATGAAGAGTTGTTGACTGCTGTGACAACCTTCCTATCCCCCTCAGTCCACAAATCTGTGATGTGGGTGCTTTGCACTGCTGAAGAGCAAGACAAATGGTTTCACAAGATATCTTCACTGCCTCAGAATCCTCTCAAAGACCTGAAAGCTTACTGCAAATTTATCAGGATTCAAAACAGATACCATCTGCCTAGTCATTCTGCCTGGGTAGTTTTTTTGCTTTCCTTTCAGGTGATCAGTCTGAACCACAGTGACATGCTTTTCTTCCCTCTAGTAATAGCCCCTGGAAAGGGGGCCTTCTGGCACAGCAGCACGCAAAGATTATTGCTCATTTATTTCTGAGTTTGGAGGTGTAATCATGTAGCCTACAATTCCTGACCTTGATGGTGAGGGTAATGGCTTTACACCTTCTCTATATAACTGAAACCAATTTTCCTTTTCACCTATCTCTTTTACAACAATATGTTCTAAAATAAATAAATAGGAAGGATTAGAAAAGTCTTCACAATATGGTATTACCTCTTTATCATAATCAAGGGATTAATCCAGAAAAAAACAAAAATCAAAAAATTTCAGTAGAAAATCTACATTCTCCTTTGTATCCTATTGCACATAATTAGCTTATATTGGAGTTGAAAGAAAGTTAACAACAGTTGTCAGATAGAGCTCAAGGTTTTTTAAAACATTGTAGAACAAAGTTTGCTAGTCTTGCGTAAACTGCTGCATGGAAATCAAGCAGCTATAAAGCTGCAAGAGCTATGCTATGAGCCCTGGGGTCTATATTATAAATTGTAACAATTTTTTCATGTTATCTTTTTAAATAATACTGAAAAACTTTGACCAGGCTAATTGTTCTAAACTAATTTGCTCCTGTTCAACTTTTATAAATCCTCATATTTCTAAAATCTCTTCATTCATGTTTATTGAGCTGAAAGAAAACTGGCTGCCCTTAGGTCATTTAGAGGCACTCTTCCATAATTGTAACCATCCCCTTGAAAATACAAAAAGTTACAGAAACTGACTTGACAGAGACCAGAGTAAAAAAAATATTTTAGCTTGCCGAACCTGTGGATAAGAAAGTACAAATGAATCTGTTTTCTTAATCAGTAGAAAATCAGAATGAGTGAGCTCTTGAGGTCCCATCGGAGATAGGGCAGATGGCCTTGTGATCAGAAAGTGATGATTTTTCTAGAGCAGATTGATAGTCTCCCTTCTAGCCTTCTCCACTTAGAATAAAAGAATAGCAATGAATGAATAAGGGGCAACTTAATGAATGCTGCGTGACTCACTGAGGTGGTATTTCAGTTCTTTATAGTGCAGCTACAGTATGACTGATAGAAGTGTGTGGATTCTTTTTCCAGAAAGGTAAAGGTTCAGTGACAGAGCCAGAGACGGAAAAATTTCCTTTATTTTAAAAGCTGTCTATGACAGTGCAAAGGACCTTAATGATATTGCTTGAAAAATATTAAATAAACAACTTATATGGGCCATTTTTATGCTATTCACAAGGCTTCACTTATGCATTCCACTCCCACCATGTAGCTAGGTCAATCATAAATTAATTATTTTTTTTAAAATGTGTGTTGATTTCAGTCTGTTGCTTTTTTAATTTTTCTATTTTTCTCTTGTATTTTGCATACATAAAGAAAATAAAGAACCAGTGCACAACAATATTTTATGACTGCTGGATTCTTATGTCCATTACGTCCATTTCAATTACATAAATTTAATCAGAAGCAGTTAATTGTTGGCTGGATTAATCTATATTTGTGTAACTCTTTTCAGTATGAAAATTAAGGTGAGCAACCATCAATTTATACACAGAATTTTGTCTTCCCTATGGACTTTTTGTTTAAAATGAGATGGCACAGTATGTGATGCAATTTGTCATAGTTTACTGTGGTCACAAAATGTGGTCAGAAAAATATTCTTTTTATTGTTTCAAATATAATAAAAGGTTATAGTCCAGTCTTCCTGTCTTACCTATTTATCTGTCTATTCCCAATGTCTCTATTGGATAGCATCTGAGTAGATCTATTTTGATTTGAACAAAATTTGACATGAGTCTCTAAGGTGTTCAGAAGAGAAGTGGGGAGGGGGCATGTAAATAATTTCAACAGATTTTGACCAGCTTCTTTCCTGGTTTTATTGGAAAACAACTTGACAAAGAGGCTGCAAACATAAAATATTGGAACATCCTCCTCAGTCTTAAAGACAAAAAAACAGATCTATAAGACTCCTGGATTCTTGTGTCTCCTGGGACAAGGCAGTGAAGGATGGCCAAAGGCAATCCATAGAAATAGTTTATCATGATACTGTCAAAAGCTAAATGCAGAAATGCCTTGGAGTAATGAAGGGGGAACCTCTACTAGGTCAAGGCTATGAAGTGCAGCAACCCAAAATATTATGCATAATATTACAAGGTGATACCTAACAACATATACAAATCAAAAAAAGAAGGTAACAGTGGGCTGAAATGAAAGGGGGAGGGAATAAAAAGCTGATGACAAACACAACAAATAAGACAGTCTAATGGCATGCTTAAGTTTTATTATTAATTTTATATGAAAATAAAACCCAATCCCTACACTCCAAAATGGTAGAAATTTACCATTTGAGTCCTATCACAAACTATGCCAAAGTCTGTTTCAGAACCAGTATAGTATTTTCATTTTAAGATCACCACAGAAGTGAGAGTTCAGAATACACATTGGGTGTGGGTGTTTCCCAGTCTAATGTAGTTCTAGCTGAAGTGCTTCATTTGTTTCATTAAAGTGGAAAGAACACATTCATACCTCCCTCTTGTATATAATTCAACACAAAATAACAATATCATAATAACACATTGTTTTGCTATTCTAAACTCCTTTCCTTTTCCTTTCCTTTCCTTTCCTTTCCTTTCCTTTCCTTTCCTTTCCTTTCCTTTCCTTTCCTTTCCTTTCCTTTCCTTTCCTTTCCTTTCCTTTCCTTTCCTTTCCTTTCCTTTCCTTTCCTTTCCTTTCCTTTCCTTTCCTTTCCTTTCCTTTCCTTTCCTTTCCTTTCCTTTCCTTTCCTTTCCTTTCCTTTCCTTTCCTTTCCTTTCCTTTCCTTTCCTTTCCTTTCCTTTCCTTTCCTTTCCTTTCCTTTCCTTTCCTTTCCTTTCCTTTCCTTTCCTTTCCTTTCCTTTCCTTTCCTTTCCTTTCCTTTCCTTTCCTTTCCTTTCCTTTCCTTTCCTTTCCTTTCCTTTCCTTTCCTTTCCTTTCCTTTCCTTTCCTTTCCTTTCCTTTCCTCTCCTCTCCTCTCCTCTCCTCTCCTCTCCTCTCCTCTCCTCTCCTCTCCTCTCCTCTCCTCTCCTCTCCTCTCCTCTCCTCTCCTCTCCTCTCCTCTCCTCTCCTTTCCATTTCCTTCCCTTCCCCTTCCCCACATGTTAGGAAGAATTCACTTTGTGACTTTTTTCCTTATGTCAGCTGCATGAATTTAAGGCCTTAATCTAATTTGACATTATTGACAAAAAATGAGATTATTCAGTTTTAGACATACTGAATAATTACCCTGTGAACCTCTCTCTTACAAGCTGCAGAAATCATTCCAACAATATAGCTGGAGAAAAAATAATAATAAAAAAAAGACATTTCTGAAAAAGACACTTTAATTTTTATAATCTTTCTTACTGTTACCCCATTTCACATTCTCTCCAAAATAAGCGAGGTTGTGTTATGGATTAGTGGACCATCACTTCAGGCTAGCCATCTTGTACGATCACAGACAATTTAAAGAGAATACATTTCTCTGTTCTCCTTTCAGTTTACTGCCTTTCAACCATGCAAAGCAGTTTGCTGATAAATACACGCTTCACACATTTATAGTGCTGGTGCTGGGGGGGGGGGGATTGTTTGACGTCCAGGTAATCAGACTATAACCAAGATTAAAAAGGGCGGGGGGGGGGGGGGGGGGGCGCGGGGGGGGGGGGGGCTGGGAGGCACGGGTTTAGGCAGAGGGTGTGGGGGGGAGCGGGCGGGGGGGGGGGGGGCTCCCCGCGCCGCCGAGAGCGGTGCTCGGGGCTCTGCTGCCACCTTGGCCGCGCCGCGGGACGTGCAGGCGGCGCCGCTCCGCGCCCGCGGAGCCACAGCTGCGCACCTGCGGCAGCTGTCCTCCCGCCTGAAAACCGCCGCCGGCCAGCTCTCGCCACGCTCCCCGCTTATGTCGTCCCCTGTCGTAAATAGAAGGCTGTATGCAATACCTACAGGGCCTGCTTATTTTTGGAGGGGGGGTGTGTGGGGGGGTGTTCTTCAAAGGAGGTTTGTTTGCCGTGCTTAAATTCGAAACTTGGAAATGTGAGTGGGAGGAGAATATTTTATTTATTTTTTTTTTTTCCTGCCCGTTTGCTTATTTCAGGATTCTTCTTCTTCCTTGTCCAGTCTTATCTTGCACATTTAATGAAGAGAGCACTCAGATTCCCCTTCACACGCACGATCTGCCTCCGTGTCCTTTCTACTGCGTGACCACTGGGGCTCTGGAAGGAGCTGCCGGCAGTGCATCCCACATCCACGCTCTCGGTGTCACTCAGCTGCAGTTAGACGTTCCCCTCCTTTTTTTTTTTTTTTTTTTTTTTTTTTTTCCCCTTGGGGGGGGGGGGGGGTGTGAAGAGAAGGGTGGCAGAAACATAATTTACCGAAAATATATATAAATGAATATTAGAAAACCAGTGGAGTTTGCTAATAGGTCCCTTGTTTCCCTCTCTACATCTTCGTGTTACTGTGCTACAGCGTTGCCTTGACATCAGGCTCCGGGCTGGTGGTACTGAGTTTGGAAAGCTATCATGCACTTCATTTTATCTGAATTGCACATGCTTTTTCTCTCATTTTTAAGGCTCTCTTCTGTTTCGGAGGAAACATGTTCTGACATGCTGGAGTTTGCTGGTGGTAAATATTTCCTTTGACTACAAAGTGTACGTGTGAAAAAGGCTTTCTTTTTCCCTTTTTTTCTTTTTTTTTTTTTTTTTTTTTTTTTTTTTAATGGAAATATGTTTCTTTCTCGCTTGCTCCTTTCCCCGCTGTTATTAATAACCTGTAAACGAGCTGAATCCGGAAGTCTAAGTGAAATAGCACTTTCGTATCTGTACTTTCAGCCACGCCACGCTGAGGAAAGTGCAGAAGCTCTGTATGTGCGTGTGTGAGGGATTCGTGAAGTACGTATGACAGTTTGCATACCAGACTCGGTGACAAAGTAGGGACCACCGGTGAGTCCCCAAGGGATCTGCTTTGCCGAGAGGATTTTTCCAGCCCCTAACCACAGAGGAGAAGCATTCAACTCTCCAGCTGCTCCCCAGAGTTGGCAGTTCTGATTTGTTTCAACTGAAAATAGCCAAGAATAGAAAATGGCACGTAGCAAAAAGTCCCCAGCCAAGTAGCGGTGTGTGCTGCGCTTCCTCTCAAATAAGCGCTCCCCCGTGGGATGAGGTCTCGGTGCCCGGGCGGGAGAAAGGGCTGCAAAGGGTTAAGCCGCTGCCTTGCTTGCCAGGCAAAGTTTGAGGAAGAATATGTCTAAGGCTTGAGTACGCCGCAGCCTCGCGTTTGAAATCTGTCACCCTCACTTAGGAGCTCTGCATCTCTGGTTGTCACCGGTGAATAATGATCACACGGCGATAAGATCGCTCCGCGGCGTTGCGCTGGAGCCGCCGGGGGGGGTGGGGGGGGGGTGGTGGTGCGGGGGAAGAGAATAAAGGAAATTACGAAGCGTTTAACTGCTTTAGCAGGGTGTTCTTCAGTGTCATCGGTGGGTGTCAGGGTCAAATGACCGTCTGGACAGCAGCTTGAAACGAATTTCCTTGAATTTCCTTCCTCCTTTCCTTGAGAGAAACGTTGGGTGATGGTGACTATTGTCAGCTATGGAAAAGAGAGACCTTGGTGGTGATCCTTAAAATAATACCATGCCGGAGCCCAGCTGTGCGGCCACTTTCTCCCCTCTCAACCTGCCGGACCCAGTGGGCTTTGGGTGACCTATCGAGGAGGACCCACCTCCGCAGGAGCAGGTAACGGCGAGTTCAGTCACTTTCTGGATTGACGCGATCTTGATTTCATCAAAGTGTGTCCTCAGTAGCTTTCTCTGATTTGAAGCGTGGGCTGGTTGAGGGGCCAGGGTCAGGGAGGGGGACAGGCATAATTTCTCCTAACCTCTCTGAGCCTGTGGGGCAGGGCAGTAGCCTGCAGCCTTGCAGAAGTTTTTAGCATTCCCACAGACGTATGGGGGCACAGGGGACAGAAATGTCTGTGATCGACAAAAGTCTGCTTTGCCTTATGTGTTGTCGACAGGTTGCTAATATCGAGGACGTGGAGAAAGAAAGGACGGGTGGGCAGTGGATGAGAAAGAAGGGTTGGTGGGGTTTTTTGGGTTGTGTTTTTTGTTGTTTTTTTTTTTTTTTTTTTCCCCACGAGAAACTGCACCGGTTGTCCATCAGTTTTGGTAAAGAGATATAAACCATGTGCAAATAAGTGCTCTGAAAAGTATGCAGAGTCAAAAAGAAAAAACAAAAAAAAAAAAAAAAAAAAAAAGGAAAAAGGTCTTAAAAAGTCAAAAAAGACCCCGAAGAGCCTTTGAAAAAGGTTGTTCGTTCGCCTTTGGACCCTACGGGGCTCCTGATCCTTTCATCCCTCTGGACCATCTGGGAGCTGCAGGCAGAGGCCGAAGCTCAGAGCAGCCCCGGCCCCACGCGGGGGACACGGGCCGTCCCCTCGGGTCTGACCCACGCCAGACCGGCCGGCCGAGCCCCGCGGAGGGCCCCGCACTCCCTCCCCTCCATCCCGCGGGCCTAGAGCCGACCCCGGCCCCCGAGGCAGCGGTGCCGGGAGGGGAGCGGGGTCTCGTCCTCACCTCCTTTCCCCTCTCCAAGTCCCCCGAGAAACACCGGGCTCCCTGCGCTCCCTCTTCCGCTCCCCCCCCGCGTCGCTCTTGCGCATCCGCGGAGGCAGGCAGCGCAGGTCGGCTCGGCGCTGCCGGTACGCAGGGGCTCTCCTCAGCCCCCTTGGAGGGCAGGGGGTGGAGGGCAGGGCGGCTGCGGGGGGGGGGGGGTGGGGGGGGTGGGTGGGCAGGAGCCACGCCGAGCACACCGCGGCTGGGCTGACCCTCGCCGGGGCTCCGCGACGGGCTCCTCGGTACGGCTTATTAAAGCCTTTGAAGTCGTGAATAATTTAGTGTGTGTGTGTGTGTGTGTGTCCCCCAAGCGAAGGGCGAAGGAGGTGCGGAGACAATGGCGAGTGATTCAGCTTTTGAGGTACGGATGAACAGAAAATGCAAGCTAGTGAGCGGCCAGGGGTGAGGGGGAAGCAAACCCCGAGGCATTTCAGTTGCCTTTTCTGTTTCCTCGACACATGGCATTGATCAGCTCTCCTCTTCTCTCCTCCATCCCTCCCCAGACCCTCCCTGAAAGTAACTCGCAGCAACAGCCGTATTGTGCATTTTCTTTACTAATGGAGGAGTTTGAGGCAAATTCTCTTCGCACACCTCACCTCCTACCTTGACGGCTGTATCCTATCGCTCAAGCGCTTCTCGGTATTAAGTAATCTTGCTTTTAAGTGGACTTATCAGGACAAGGCGGTAGCTTAATTAGGAGCTGGGCGGCGGGGGAATAGTTACCCCGAAACAAGCACAGACAGCCCGGGATGCACATACACACGCACACACTCACACCCACTGTATATGCACAGAAGACACTGGCGGGGGCGGGGCGGGGGGGGGGGGGGGGGGGAATGTTAGCGCTTTAGGGCAAAAGGCGGTTTCTCCAGCGGTTTTAAAGTCTTTCTGACTGATGATGGAAATGAGACGGAATACTAAAGGAGGTCCGTCTCTTCCCTGAGGGTTGGACTTTCTTTTATTCTGTGTTACATTTATTGCGTGGTGCTATTGCCTACCTAAAAGTTCGCGGGGGGAGAAGGAGAGGGAAGGAAGGGGGTGGGGGGAGGCGGGCTCGTCGGTGGCTGCACATGAAATATCGCCATGTTGGTGGAGAGCGCGGCCGTAATTGCTAGCGAGGGCATCTCCCAGTCAGGACCGCAGCTCGGGGAGTTTTTCAGCTCGCTCCCCGGCTTCCCTTCCGATGACCCCCGAGCGTCCCCAGGGCAGGGGGGCCGAGGCAGCTCCGCCGCGGAGGCCGGCGATACCCGCACCTTCCCTCCCCGCAGCCCCGGCCCGGCGGGCTCCGCGGTGAGGCGGGGCGGGGGTCCTGGGGGCTGCGCTACCCCCTCCACACACACCACACCCCACACACCCCCCCCGGGCAGCGCCACCCCGCTTGGTTCCCCTGGCTGAGAGTAGGGGGGAGGCCGAGACCAAAGGGAAGGTGCTCGCTAAACTGCTCTCAGCAAGCAATGGGTTAAAAGCGGGAGGGAGGGGGGGTGAAAAAAAAATAAGAAAGAAAAAGAGAAAACCTAGCCTGACTTTGACTCTTGGAAAGCTTTAGGTTGCAGCCCTGCCTTCCAAGCATTCTTTAAACTAGAAATGTGGGAGGGACTCCAGGAGAGAGAGAGAGAGAGAGAGATGGCTATCAACTGAATTCATTACTGTAAACATCTCCCTGGGGTGTCAGGCAGGGAGGAAAAAAAGGCACGACTTACATTTGCAGGGAATAGTCAGATCTGAGGCATCATTACTGCTAAGATCAGCCTGCAATCCCGCTGAAGGCAGGCGCAGGACTTGGGGAGAGACAGACGCACACACACACATATACTCACATATATGTGTCCGATGCCTTCTCCGACTTCCAAGGGTCCGGGGTCTCCGTGCCTGCTCCTCATGTGATCCGTTCATCATTTCCAGAGGACAGAAAGAAAGGAAAGAAAGAAACCCCGAGACCCGGCGTACCCGCGGTCCCTTCTCGTTTATTTTTTTTTTTTTTTTACCGGAGAAGGAGGAACGGCGGGGGGAAGAGCGAGCGAATCGAGGAGAGAAAGTGCGTCGGGGATGCCAGAGCCGCGGGCTGCGCGCCGGAGGAGGAGGTGGCGGAGAAGGGGGGAGGACGAGGACGATGCCACTGCCTCGTAAGGGCGGAGGAAGGCGCGGGAGGCGCGGGGGTCGCTCCGGAGCGGCGGCGGCCGGCGGGGAGCGGGGCCGGCCGGGAGCGGCGCTGGGCGGCCGCGCTGCGCGGCGCGGAGGGCGGCGGCCAGCACCGAGGAGCGGCGGCGGCAGCAAAGTTTTGGTGTGGGGGGCCAGAGGCGCGGAGGGGGATTATGATCGGTGCCGGCGAGGGATTCCCAGACACCGCCAGGTACAGTTGGGCTTTCATTTGTCTCTCTTTTCCTTCCTGGTGGCTCTCGCCCCCGGGCGGTTTAAAGACGCGGTGCCCTTTGCCGTCTCGGAGAAGGCAAAGTTAGGGAGCCGGGAGCAGGTTGCGTTTCAGAAATATCGCCTCCGCCTCATTAGAGCCCCGTGTCTGCGAGTGTGCGGCGCCGGGCACCCAGACGCACGAATTTGTGAATGGCCGGCGGCAAGTGTTAGGAGGGTCCCCCGGGTTATTTCAGCCGGCGTGTGGGTTAGGATCGGGACTCGGAGCTGGCAGCTGCAGCGGGGTCCCGGATCCCCCCCGGTCGCATTTCAGGGGCGGGCGGGAGGGTGCCGAAGCTGCCCCCCCCCCCCCCCCCCCCCCCCCCCCCCTTCCCCAGCCCGTGGTCCCCGCACGGCGCCGGGCGGGGAAGGGAGAGCCGGGAACGGCCGCGCAGCAGCGCGCCGGTGTTAGCACCGCCGCGAGTATCGCCTGGCAGGCGGCCGTGGGAAACGGGACCTTTACGGGTGAGCCCTGCTCGGAAGAGGCAGTCGGCTTAGCTCGGCGCTGGCAAGTGTGAAGAGATTTACGGGGAGAGCAGGGAGCTGCGCCCAGCAGGAGGATCCATCAGAGCCCCATCAGCAGCCTCCGGAGCGGGGCTGGTGGGAGTGGGTGGGTGGGGGGCGAGGTTAAGAGAATTAGATCAGGATTTTGGAATACAAAGGAGCCCCTCGTAGACCTGATGAGTTAGACGGTGATCTCTGGCAAAATAATAACAAATACTGTCCGGGTTTGGGGGGGGGAGGGGAGGTGGAGGGGACTGTGAGCAAAAAATAGCATATTGCAAAAGCAAGTCAAACAGCTGAAAAGACCTCTCTAGAACATGAGATAAAACCCCATAAAAGATAAAGAAATCATCAGCAAAGTGAGAGAGTAAGGCTCTCCACCTTCTTTTCAGAGTGGAAATCAGTCAACAGGAGCTTTTAATTAATTTTAATGGAGGAAATCTGTTTTAAGGCTTACAATAAGCTAATAAATCCAAGGCACAAATCCGTGTAAATTCCTGTACTGTGTGTGGAAGGTACTGATTAGATTACTTCAGATGCTGCTTTTTGCAATGCAGAGCTCAGCTAAATAGAAGGGAGAGGTTCCTTGCATGAGGAGCAGGAAAAGATACTAAAGCAAGTCAGACCTCTCTCACACACAGACGCGCGCACACACACACACACGCACACACAAAAAAAGTCAGGGTGTGTGTTAAAGAGAGGTTTATTTACTGCATCTAATTTTACAGTACTTGCAGGGAAATTAAACCAGTTTAGAGATTGAGATTGATTACTACTTGGATTTAAAAAAAACAACCAACCAGACAAAAAATCTCCTCAAACTTCCATGGACTTAATTCCTTACTTCATTCACTGACATGATCTTTCTCTAAGAGCACTGTTATATATTTGTAGTTTCAGATGAAATTCATTAATTGGTTTCAGATATATTTATTTTTGGAAGGAGAAAAATCCATCCTGGCATTTTGTTTCAAAACGCTTAAAAGGTACTGAACCTAAACCTCTATTCCACCTTTCTTTCCTTTCTTCCTCTGAAGAGTCAATGTATCACTGAATCGTAATCTTTTTATAATCAAAAAGATACAACAGATGTTATTTAGAAGTGACACAAGTGATGTTAAAATGTTAGTGTTGATCTTGATCCTGAAAACTATGTGAGAGGACAGATTTCAAACATCATTACTGTTGTAGGAGGTTTGCTATTTAAATGGT